GAAAGCTGGTTAGAAGTTAGTTGCCTAAAAATATTTTCAAACCTACATCCAATCCATAGGCTATTTGCTCATAAAAATGAAATCACATGTGACGTGCATTAACTTCATAGTCATAAAGTGATAGTGTGTACAGAAATCAATCATTAGCAAGGGCAGTGTAAAGGTGTAAACATGATGTTGATCATTTTGTAAAGTTGAATCTTTTGCAAAATAAAAATAAATCAACTTTACTGGAACATTTCGGCTATTGGGAAAACTGTCATAATTAATATGTGTGCATATATTGTGAAGCAGTGCTGAAATTTAGCAGCAATACTATAAACATGTGAAATCACTTACAAATTTTCGATAGTGCTGCATTTAGGGAGATGCCTCAAAACAGTATGGCTGAAATTCCAGCAACAATGACTTTAACTGAATCACCATCTTCATCCCAATCATCAAGTACCAGCAACATTAGTTGCAGTACTGCAAGTTTGACACCTGTAAAACAGTCACTGGAAAGACAGTTAACTATACAAGTCTTTAGCAACTAAAGCTAAGTTTCCTAAAGAGAACATGAAGCAGAAAAAAGTAACAGTAAAACCATAAAGCTAAGGGTATGCATTTACTGCTAACTGTGGAAGAACCTGGATTTGTAATGTTGCTTGAATCTCTTGACCCAAAATAACATGTACTTTCAAGGAAAGAATTAAGCGGGAACCATATTGCAAAACCAGTATTCTAAAAGTTTTATTGACCAACTTTCTAAGACAAGTTATGTGTTAATTACTTTTAGCATGTGGGCTTCTTCTAGAGCAAATGATCAGTATCTTGATTTGACTGTTCATTTCATAAACCAATAACGGGTATTGAAAAGCTATATTCTTCAAAACTGTGAGCTTCAATCACCTCACATTGCTGAAGTTATAGCTCAGTCTGTTACTCAGTATATATAAAAAGTTGGAATATCTTGAATAAGGTTGAAGTAATTGTGTCAGACAATGTTTCCAACTGTGTGAAAGTTGTTAGTAACATGGGTTGAAAGTTTGTAACAAGTTTTGGCCATACCTTGAATTTAGTTATCAAGAAAGGACTAAATGCAGGAATGAAAGGAGTGATCGCACGAGGTTTAAAATTAGTGGGGCATTTCCATCAAAGTGCTATTGCCAAATATTATTTGGTAAACAAGCAAAAACAACTTGGTTTACCAGAGCACAAGTGGATTCTTTGTTGCAAGACTAGGTGAAACAGCATTTATGCCAAGTTGAAGAGAACTGTAGAGCAACAACAACCCATACGTGCAGCACTAATGGTGTTGGATAAACCAGATTTAATGCCAGAACAAGCAATGAGTAATGCAGACAAGTTGGTTGAAATTTTGGAACCTTTTTCAGAAATTACTTAAGAATTCTGCAATGAATCTTGTTTCTCTGTATTAAGTTTGTTAAATACACTGCATCAATTGAAAATCCTCCTAGAACCAGCCAAAGGTAACTCAGGAGTGATACCACAGATTAAACATGTAATGCTTGAGGATCTGAAAAACAGATATACATCAATTGCTACTGTTGACATTCTGATGAAAATATTTTAGAATTGATATTTCGTTATTTTCCAACATTTAATTAGTGTAATTCATGTTGGAAAAAAAAAATCAATTCTACACAGCTGCAGATAGTCTTGCATGTAAACAAAACAACCTACTTGTTAATTTTTTTTACAATTTTTCTTCTCATCCCAAAGAAATCCTTTATTTTTGCCCATCATCCCTTGAGAATATGTTTAATTTCTTGTACAGGCCTTAAGCCTCAGTTGAAATCTTAATATGTACCACATCAAGTGGTTTGATCATTTACTAATGAAACACAGCTAAAGAAAGTATAAATATGATTGGATACTATTGATAGAACAAGAAATAGACTATCATGTAATAGTAAATATACAGGCTCAATTTTTTTATAGTTTCTCCCCTTTCAGTTTCTTTCATTCATGAGCTGTGAAAGTATTTGTTTGTTTGAAACTACAGAAATTGTCTTCACTGAGAAGAGGTCAGGTAACTTGGGATAAAAAGAGCTTATACATTTATCGACTGGTTGAATGGATAACAAGAAAACTTCATTGAAAGTTTAACACAGTAACAAATGTACAATGTTTAAAGAAGGTTTTGTGATCATCAGGTACAAGTAGTTTACCTAGACACAGGAAGATATATATACACAACATAAAACAAAGTCACACAACTAGAGATTTATTAAAGTTTAATACAGGTATCTTGTTGATGTCTAGTTCATTGTTTAAAATTATAGTATTTTTACTTTTCAACAGATATACTATGGTTTCATTGAATTTTAATGTTTGTAAAGATAAGTTTTTTTTATTATGTTTAACAACATAACGAGTACGGAAGGTGAGTGGAAAATATTTTGATGGCTGAAACCTTTATTGTGTATTATTCTTATGTTTATGTTCTTCAAACAATATATAATCATAATTTTTAAAAAATAAAAACAATATTAACCTTATTGGTGAATGGTGATAGTAAAAGTTAAATATGTCTCCATTTTATTTACTGTAGATTAATACAAGATTACTAAACATTTTAAATGTGACATAAAGGTGACTGTATAGTTTAGCCGACATTAATGATTCATGCTTCAAGTATTACTTTTGTGGGAAAAACATTTCCACAGAAATAAAATACTATCTGAAGAAGTTGTGAAGATAACACACAGGCACCTTTTTTTATCTTGCTTGCCCCCTATTGGCATGTCTGGACATGCATGTATTAATGAGCCCGTCAACTGATTGATTAGCGAGTTCCACTAATTGCCCAGCTCTACATAATACACAATATCAATACATAATACATAATATTAAAATATGTACCATTTATAATCAGATTAGAACTAAACTTTTAGAGGGAAAGAAGATGTGTCAGGGTCACTACTGCAATCCTGTAATGACACAGTATCTAACAACAGTCATGTACAACTAGATTAGACATTGTATACAAGTGCATAAATCTACAAGTAAATGTGTAAGAGCATGAACCAAAACTAGATTAGGCATAGTTAACAACCATTATCAAACCAAGTTCTTATAAACACATTTACTGCTACACTGTCTGATTGATTACACACATTTAGTTGTAGCAGGGCTTGTGCAACTAATGTACACAACTACTGATAAATCCTAACATTAAATCACACAGAACAACATCAGACCATATTCCTAAGACACAATTCTTCATTGTGTGATCGTACATTATATAGAGCACGGCTGGTACAGATAAAGATGTCACAAGACTAATGAAAAACTTAAAGATTAGATCAATTATACCATCATTATTTGATCAAGTTCTTATAAACACACATATACTCCTGAACTGTCTTAACAATGACTATCATAGACAAATGTACTAAACAACTATTAAATGTCCAATCACACAGTATAACATCATTTACTATAAGGCCAAATTTTTGTAAACAAACTTACACCTGTACTTTATAACCAAATATTAGATGCAGAGAAGTCAGCAAAGACAAAGATTATAACTACTAGTGAAACTTGGCCCATTTTAAACCATGCTCATCTGATAATTCTCATGCTTAGTTAAATCCTAAAAGCTTTTTTTTTTTCACTTAATGACAGAATGATACATATGAAAATAATAAGTAATTAAATATGATTCTACTTACTTTGCTCCTCCAAGACAAAAATAACAGCCTTCTGAGTAAAGCACTTCCTGATGTTTTCAAGTCTTACAAAAAACTGCAGAATAAAATTACGATAATGAACATGTTATTTTATTTATAAAAATGATTTGGAAAAAAAAACATTTCAGAACTATTTTTCATTTGCTAATATTTTGATGACACTTAAGTTATATTTAAATGATGTTTTTCACAAAAAGTACAAGAAGAAAACAATATTGAGATTACACTGAATCTCAGCTAGTACAAGTTTCCAATTATTCTGTATCTGATATGGTCTGCTAAACAAATATGTTCACATACTGGGACTCAAGAAATCAAACATTTAACTCCTTTTACAAATTATAAACAGCTGTTTTAAAAACACCCTTTGATAGTTTTTGCTGGAAGAAGGACTACCTCAAAATTTGGTAGCTTCAAATTATCAGCAAGAGCTTTTGTAATAGATTTGACAAGTAAAAGATTAGTAGACTTCAGTAGTAACAGATGAGTACACTAAAATAATAACAGTCTTAACCTTTTCCAGCCCAGTAGCATTATACTGGCCATTTCTTTATCAGCATTCATAAAAATTAATAAATCATAAATGTTACCAAAACTGAAACAAAGAATCTTCAAACATAAAGCATGATAACCATGATAATTAGAAAATTTTTTGGTAAATTTACAATTTATAATGAAAGACAAAAAACTTGACATGGATATGTACAATGCCATTATGTAGTATCATAGAGGCTGTAGACTTTACATGTAGAGGGCCAAAGTACTCAATAGGCATAATACAAACATGAATGCTTAAAAAAATCAACGACAGAGAGTTTTACTTTAAAATATGATTGCCATTCACTTTCATTTGTTTCTCCACCCAACAATCCCCAAAACAAGGTAGGACACCATTGTTAGTTACCAAATCAGAAAATGACCAACCCACCAGATTGTTCATCTTTCTTCTACTTGTTTCAGTCGAGATGACTCTACAACTACTTTATCACCAATGTCAATTTAATTCTAAGTCCACTCTATGTGTTTCTGGGCAGTGTAAGATGTCATTACTTAATCGTAACAACTAGTAGTACTTAATAAAAAAATTCATAATTCTAATGTAAATGACATTATTATTATTACCCCTTTAAGTTAGCTTTTTCACAGAACCTGGTGTTCTTTAGAAAAACTTAAGTACAGGGTAAAATATTCATCAAGGAATTATATATATGTATAATATAATTGGCAAAATAATCCAAACAAGTTGATTAACTATTTCATTTGGTGAAGAGATGATACACTTTTTTTTCAAACTTTGGGTAGCCTGTGGCAGTTGAAGATATAATTGTAGGAGTTTCATACTACATAAGATTAATTGCCGACTAGCAATTACAAGATATAATTTTTGACTAAGTAAATTTGATGCACCCTAATGTGTAGTGACTTTTTTTTTTACTCCTTCACTTCATATATAGTATAGTGGTTGGCTCCCTAAGGACAGTAATTGTATAATGTCCAAAGCATTGAATATTCTACATGTTACAGTCATCTAATGTTCATCTATTATTGGCTAGTAATTCCAACAGCTGGTTCAAATGAGTCATCATATTGCATGATCTGCAAACTCCATTTTTCCATTTCAGCCAATTAAAAACAGAATTGAACAAGTGTATGCTAGATTAGTTAGTTGCATTTGTTTTTCAGTAGTAGTATGTATCAATCACTGGATATGCATAAGTGTGCTTCTGGTATCTGCAGTATAATATTATATTGTGTAATTTATATCTAGTTTTGATCAGTTGATTAATATCATCTGCATTTATTTAAGCAATGCAATGCCAAAATCTAGACAGTCTGTTGTTTGTCCCACATTTGGAGAACATAGTGAATTAAAGCTAAATGTCTTGCTAAACTATGAATCCATTATGAAAGTGTTTACTGAACAAACGTCAACCTAAAAGTATGGAAACTGTTCATCCCTTATCATTTGATTGTGCAAAAAAGGTTGCTCAAAAAGTTGAACAAATATGGGAAAGTGAAAGCATTCCCATAGTATCACACAAATGTGTTGTTGAAAAAATTTGATCATTTGAAAAATATCGTAAACTGCTACAATCCTAAAAGCAGCATAAAGATATACTGACATACAAAAAGAACATTACAAAACACAGAGATGACACCAACAAACTATTTGATATTGCTGCATGCAAATGCAAACAAGGAACTGTCTGCCATTGCCCAACTGAAAAAAAACGCCCCCCCCCCCCAAAAAAAAACATAACTTTAGTCAGTGAACCTGAATCAATTTTCATGGATCACATTTATCCTTCTTCCGGAACACCAGAAGGTATAAAAAAATTCTATCATTCAGTGGTTTGAGGATAAAATTTCATCTGATCATTTAGTTGCTGTAAGCTGTGACGGCACATACCTCTATATTGGAAAAAAAGCTGGAGTTATGCGGCTTCTTGAATTGCACTTAGTAAGACCTGGTCATTGGTTGATTTGTTTGTAACATGCAAATGAGTTACCCCTGCATCATCTAATTATGCATCTTCATGGAGTAAATCTAGGACTGTCAGCTTTTCTGGTCCTCTTGAAAAGAAACTGAAGACTTGTGAATCATTTCCTTCAGCTAAACTTTGTTCCAGTCAAACTTACAGAGCCATTACCAAAACTGACCATCCTAAGAATCTTAGAACAGATCCAAAATATTTGCATGACATGTGCAGTGTGGTAGTGTCAGGTCATTGTTCAAGAGAACTTGCTTTACGTGACCCTGGTACAATGAACCATTCTTGCTGGTTAACAACAGCAAACAGGATTTTGTGTCTTTATGTCGCAACTGCTAACCCATCCAAAAAA